ATGCTTTAGGCTTTGGGTGTCAAATCGTGTCCGCTTTGTTTTCCAGCTTTGAAGACAGTGTATCGCTTGCTACAAAGATGAGGTGCACGATCACTTGCATGTCGCAGCGACATCAAGCCATGGCTCTAGCCTTGGAGCCACTGAGGTGATGGCATGCCAACACCCGAGTCGCTCGGACGATTTTGGGAGCAGGGCTCAGTTTCACAAAAGGTGGTGCCGAGTGAAATGGGGGCATTTCCAGACAAAGTCTCAAAGCATTTGTGTGGATTAAGCTGATTGTAAATGATCTCATTGACGCATGTTGGACGAGTCGCTCATTGTCGGTAGGTGCTTGGAGTACCTCCCGTCTGAACGGCGCGCTTTCGAGTTGTTCATGCAGGCCTTGCCCTGCCGGAGGGCTGCTGCGAGACTCCTTGTAACTTCCAGCGCGCGTGCGTGCTGCAGTTCTTTGCTGGCAGCTTGTGGTTTGGGTGCAGGATCTGCGTGCTACACCGCTTCCCAAGCCAGGCTCCACTTGATCTAGGGGGTCGCCTACAACTTCCGGGACCTACAGACCCTTTTTGGCCCAAGAAGCTGAGGTTCTTTTGAAGGCCGCGGCATTGTCATGAGCGGAGGGCCCATGCACGTGCTGCAGGCCATGGGGCCCTACGTCCCTCACGTCAGTCTCACGTCAGTCTCACGTCAGTCTCACGTCAGTCTCACGTCCCTTACGTCCCTTACGTCTCGGGTCCGGCCCTGTGCCAGGCCATTGCAAATTTGGAGGTTTTGCGAGTACAGATGAAGTCCAATTTGCCTGTCGAGCCCCCTGCCTGCGTATGATGCGTGAGTTCCAACAATTTCCAACACTCAGTTCTCTTCACCAACTATCTACAGTAGCCTTCGTGAGTCGGATGCCGAGGTTTTGGCATGCCTTTGAGCTGGAAGAAGCCCACTGCGATGCCTTGGCCACGTGGGGCGCCGCCTGCCGGAAGCTCCAGGCACGTGGCCGTGGCTGATGTGGACAATTGGAGCTATGATTTCCGCTGACAAGACAGTGCTGCCGAGGGCGCAACATCGGTCCCTGAGACAGGTTCCGGGAGTTTATAGAGACTTCCAGACGATTCTACCGCCGCTTGCTTGCAGGACTGCCTCCATGTTTCCAAAAATCAAGCTCCCAAGCTCGAGATCCATCATATTTCTTAGGTCCATCATGTCCTCATCCTTCAAGGAGATCCTGTGGGTGGACACAGACATCACTCTACTGTACAGGCCAGAGCTGCTCTTCGACTCGCCTCAGTTTCTGCGCCCCTTGGCAAGGGCATACAAGGGCACAGTCCAGATCCCATACAGGAAGAGCGAAAGAGGCTCCTGCGATACTTTTCCGGGGGCCGGGGGGGGGGGTACTTTACAAGCCGACATCAGCACGGAAGGAGTGCCTATATAACTCTAACTCTGTAGGAAGGGGGGGAGGTGTAAACATACAACAAACATTACACTGTTACACTGGCCGTAGTTCCTCAACAGTCAGTCACACTGCATTTCGCACAAAGGGCCGCGGGGAGTTTCGCGGAAGGGTCTGCGATTCAGGTCAAGGAGCACTCTTCTGGCCAGAGGCTTGGCTCCAAACAGTGGAATTGCAGCGTTAGGCGGACGGTCTGCTGTGTTGTGAGCCCCTGGGCTTTGGAGCCCCGGCACATGCCATTCCTACAGTTCTGATCGTATATTGACGTGCAACTTCATGAGGATCACTGGTCCTTCGATTGCCGACCGTGGGGTCACAGTGCCCGGTCCAACCATGTGATCCTGAAGCTGCCCGGACAAGATCTGACAAAGCTTGTGTGCTTGGGTTCATGCCAAGGCCATGATCTGCACAAACGTTTGATACCGTTGGGCTTGCAGGCTGCTGAACTTAGAGCACAACGCATCGAACATGTGCCTTGGGGCTGAGAACTACCAGTAGTACCTGAAAGTACTGCCGTGGAATTGCTATGCGTATTGTGTGTGATCTATGTGGTACAGCAAGTGATAGTCGGTGATTCAGAGCCCTCAAGCCAGTGCTCTTTCACGAGGCATTATGCGCACGAGCATGAAACCAGCCACTTCTTCATCAACAAGGATGCCGTGATGCCCAATTAGCGGCCAAGAAGGCAGTACCTAGGTATCGGATGATCGATCTGCTTGAAGGAGATGCATTGGAAGCCTATTTGTTTGGCCAATTTCCTGGCAACCCGAACCTTCTCAAACGAGATCCTGCATGGGGCCAAGGACGGACAGACGGCGATGAAGAAAACAGAGCAGAACTGAAAGCATTGACAATATCCGTAGAGCATTCCTCCTACAAAGCCTCTGATCTCCTTTGATTGTTAGTCTATGTTCGCGTGGTCGCCGTCATCGCAGGTGTGTTAATTTCTTGCGCCAGGACGTTTTCCGCTTTGCCTTCCTAAAGCTGAACGCTTCGATCTGGCTCAGCCCGGTCCGACCTGGACTGATCGGTGCGTTCATGTTGAATGGACTTTTCCTGCCGAGGGCAATGCTGCAGCTGCTTCGTCTGTGAGTTGTGCTTGTGCTCGCATTGCGCTGGCCGCACTTTGCAGATCCCAACCAAGCCCCACGCCGCCCAGTTTCTGGCCAGCTGGGGGCTTCCTTGGCTCCGGCTCGCACGGTCGCAACGTGCTGCTTTGCATTCATCAGAAGTCGCTTGGCGCGCTCCCTTGCCTGGCATCTTTCTGTTGGTTGCATGTGCAATCATCGCATCACATCTTTCTTCAAGCGGTAGTCTTCAAAGCAAAAGAATGCTGCTTGAATTGCTGCTCTCATCCTGATTCCAAGAGGTCGCAAGCAAACAAAGCCAGGAATGTTTGCGCACATGCAGACATGCAGACCAGGAAGCAGCCCGGTAGCCTTTGGAGCGAGATCATCACATTTGAAGTGCCGCGGCTCAGCTGCACCCTCATGGCATGCCATCTCATGACCCTCATGCACTTGGGGGATGCTCCGCTAGGTGCAAGCGGTTCGCTTGCAGAACGGGGATGTTGCAGGGATATAGGCCATTCGTGATACCTGCGAATCCTAATCCTGCGAGGATTGGCACCTGTAGCTCTTACTTCCCCGTGGCCTTCGACCCGTTCGAGGCAACGGATGTAAACATCTGGCAGATCGGCCAAACCGACCCACAACTTGCAGCCTGTCTGAATCCGTATGGACAGCCCGAGCTGGATGCTTCGCCTGTGTACTTTTCGCAAGTGCCCGGGCTTCTCGTGTAGAGCCGACTGCTCGGCTTGATCGGCTCAATGGCCCTGCCAGGTCAAGAGTACACTTGCACCTCCGTAATTGCAAGCAGCTGCACTTATGGCCCGTTCTCCACGCCGATTCAACCTGACCCCGCCCGTGTCGTGGAGGAGCATGCTCTAAGGCGAAAAATGCTTCACGACATGCGCAGGCGCACGCGAGCTTTGAAGAGGAGGGCGATTGCCAGCACGGCACTATTATGCGATGTTCCGGAAATCTTATAGGGGACCCCCCATTGTTTAGGGTAGTCCTCAATTATGCGATGTTTGCCCGGCCGGGGTTGCGGGTTAGGAGAGAACAAAAGGAAGCTGAAGGCTGGTTTCTTTCGTCTCCGCTGATGCAGTAGTAGTACTACTGGTACTACTAGTACTACAACGAGACGACAACCCCAGCCCACACTTTTCAGGATCCCCGAAAACCCCAAAATTGTTTGCGGGGGGGGGACCCCTACGCACTAAACCGAGTCCAACATTATTAAGAATATCTTCGGTCGACCGACACACCGAAACCCACCGAAACCAGTTTCAGTGACTACTAGTATGTACGACTGCAATTGCCAGATCATTGTGTCGAAGTGCGGCCGCAATCATGCCGGGAATGTGCGGTTGACTGAAATCGAGTGGGCAGCCGACATGAGCTGTCAGCCTGGACTTGCACAAGCCTGCCGAGTGTGCTGATTCTTTCTGCAGCATAAGCGTGCAGAGGACTTCAAAAGCCAGAAACTCGATTTGACATACAACGACCATTCACAGCCATTTCTACTGGTCCACGAAAGATTGTGTGATTGGTAACCGCGAAAGACAATTCACTTTTCGCGAGCTGTTTGTGCTAGCAAAGGACATTAAGCTACTTGGCAGATTCTGACAGTTGGATTTTCCGTGTGTTTTCGAAGGCCCTGTCCTTGAAAAAACGCTCCCCTGCTGCTACAGAGGCCTCACTTACACAGACACCACCGGCTTGGGGTTCAGGCTGCTGTCCAGCTTGGAGATGTGCGATATGGCGTTGTTCAAGATAGGCTGCGTGAAAGTCTGCGAAAATAACCGCGAAAGACATGTCACTTCTCGCGAAGCATCGTTGTCTCCATGTGAAAGAGTTTAAAACAAGCGCCGAGGAGCGGAGCGTACTGTTCCTCTGAGGCAGAAAACATCAGTCTCGCAGAACAGCTGTGGGACGAGGCGCATGGAGAGGCTTCACAGCGTCTGAACTTGATGGAATGTTCGATGATGTTGGCCATCTCCACCCAGGCGTACTACAAGGCCCGTAACAACTTACTTCCTCTTCTGCCCAGGCCTTACTGGCTACTGTGACTCGCTAGTTGGTGGCTGTTCGTCGACACCTCTGAGCTTCTTGAATGGAAGGGAATGGAATGACATGAATGAACACATTGTGCTTAGGTCAAAAGAGGCTCAACAAAAGCTGCACCCCCAACGAAGCAAGACGGCCCAGACCTTGAGCCATCTGGTATGGTGCAGTGGTGCAGCACGAAGTGGCGGCCTCACATCCAGCCTGTACTCTCCGAGTCGCAGGCAAGCGCAGACTTCACTCGTACTGCGGAGGGATGCCGCCACCTGTCACATCTTGCTGAGATGCTGTCTCTCGTGCTCTTACCAAAAGTTTGTCCAGTTATCTGTTCTTGGCAGCGCAGCTGAGCCATGCATGCATATGCAGTGCCTTACGGGAGCTGACCGGTTGGAGGCTGTGACTACGACGACAACCTTTTCCTGTTCGTGCTGACGGTCCAGAACCTATTGCATGCATGCATGTCTGGAAATATACTCGAAGCATCGCAGACGTGCAAGTGGCGCGGCATAACATCGTCGGGGAGCCGGCTGCGTGTGGACTGTCCATGCAAGTCCAATGAACTTTCTTCTGCGTGCCTCCGAATTCTCACGATGCTACCAGGTCATCTCGATGGCTCCGGAACAGCGCTACGAGACTTTTGAAAGAGTGTCTCAGCTGAAGCCACGAGTTCAAGCTGTTGCCGGTCCAAATATTATGCGTTGCCCAGCACTTTACAGCTACAGCCAAGGACTTGTGCGACCCGATACTGCTTGGATTTGACTGGGGGTCATGCGCAGTTGGCTACACAGCACTGGCCGTTCTTTGCTCTCAGCTTTGGATGTACAAGCATCCGGCATTGGATCCCCGGGCTGCAGCTGTTGCAAATCTAATCTCTGTTGCGAAAGTAGTCTTTCATCCAAGGCTGCTCTCATCGATGACACATGAGTTGATGCCTGCATTCTCCTCCCAAGGACAAAATTGCAGTGGCCAAAGAAGCCATCAACAAGTTGTTGCCATCGGTGGACGCTTTTTAGCAGTGCTGCCGGACTGCTCTGTTAAAGCCTATTATACACAATGCAAGAAGGCAGAGGATATTGGCAGGAGCCCAGGTTTAGAATCACGTTCGTTACGTTTGTTTCGATCGTTTGACCGAGGAGTCATGCTTGCCCAAGACACCATGGCCGCTGAAGCTGCCAATCTGGATGCCAAGGTATGCTAAGGTATGCCAAGGTGGCGACGTGCGTAGTTCTGTTTTTTCTCTCCATGCGCGTGCCAGTTGTTAACTCCATTGGTCACATTCGCACTCCGCTGAGGCTCGCAGAGTTGCACAAGTTTGCGAATGACACCGTGGATTACACCGACTTCAAGCTCGGTCCGGAGAAGGTACCAGGGTCTTTTTCCAGGCGTATGCGATATTTAAGCTCCGGAACGTTTCGACAACCCTTCCAGCTTTGGGCGAAAGAAGTCACAGGCCGCATTGTTTGGGGCGTCCATCCGCAGTGCCGACTCTGCAACTGATCATGCCTTGATAATGTTGACATGTTTGCCGGAACCCTGAACGCTCGTGCATGGGAGTCCCCCAAAAACACACAGGGTGTGGTCGTGAGCGTGGTCTTTGTTGCGTCGGTGGAGTGAGAACACGGCAATTACGGGGGCAGCGTGGGCCCATTCTCCCAAGAATGAGACAGGTTCCTTTCCTCGCCTTCGGTTCTCCCAGCCTCTTGTCTAAGCACCTGCGTGGTAAGGCTGCATCCCATTGGACATGAGCTGCTGGAATCCCAGTCGTTCAGCAGCAGACAGCGTCGGATTCGGATGTGGCCATGTCTTCAACACGGGAAGCACTAGACAGACACCGAATTTCAATAACGCGGCTTGACTTTCTTGATCGTGTTGTTTTTAAACCTTTGCGAGTATTGCGTGCACGGAGGAAATGCTTGGCAAGAGCTTGACGAGCAAAATCGCTTCGTGCGAAAGGAGCACCCGACACTTGTCTTTGTTCGTTTGAGATCTTTCGGAGCTTTGGATGGATCACTGTAGTGCGAGGCGCCCTAAGTGCAAGATAGCCGTGGCAGGGTGAAGTCCCCTCCAGCAATTGGGGCAGAACACCTTGCGCAACTGTAAAATTAAACGCGTTGCAGACCAACCAAGACCGCAGGAGTTGTCCTCTTAGCTGGAAGGAACAATGTGAAGACAACTTTGCTGGTTTTGGGATCGCATCTCAAAAATGATTCAATGATAGTTCTGAAAGCCCAGGTTTACAGCGTGCCCATGCCCGAGAACACGCGAGAATCACTCGCATCAGTTGAGGTTACGGCTGATGATTGACGATCGTTGTGTGTTTGACGAGGGCAGTGCAGTCTTGTTGTGTTCTTCCATCTGATGTTTCGATGCTGCGTACGGAGATTATCGGAGGTTGAAAGCCTTCGGCGCATTGCGGCCTTGAAATAGGATCAAGGCCTGTTCTGGTGGTTGTAGATCTAGCTCCAAGGCCGATACTGCTGCGACCGAACCATTCCGCGCCACTTTCGCACCTGAACTGCATTCTGTTTCTTCTGCAGGCAACAATGCCACATGGCATACCAAGGCTCTGCTGTTTGCCCGAAAGCTTGAGGCGCGCTGTGCTTCGACTCCACGTTCACGGAGGATCGCTGCTGCAATGCAACTTGATGCCCCCCATGCTCCCACTCGGTGATCGCAGCTTCGACGATTCCCGTCCTTTGGGCGAAGTCTGGGAGGAGACGAGGTTGACAAGTGCCCTGCAAGCTTCAGTTCCTTGTTAAGCAGATGCAACTGATTGGGATGCGCCGCACGTCGTGAGCTTGGAGGAGAAGCTTGGAGGCCTGGAACAACTTGTTGCACGCTTGTGCGTGCAAGCGAATTCCAGTGGTCATGCTGTGCCGCTGGCGGAGAGTCGCCGGCCACTACCAATTCGAGGAAGCTCCACGCCACGTGGCCTATTGCTAAGCTGAGGAGCCATATGGCCATATGCTGCCACGTGCTGCCCTTCTGTTAGCTCCCCTTCGATGTCAACTTGGTACGGCACTTCTGAAGATGTTCTCTGGGCTGCTCACCTTGGCAGCGGCCGCCGAATTTTAGTAAATTCAAACATGTGCGTGGAGCTGCAACATGATGCTCGCGAGCTGCAACAAGCTGTTCGAGCCGGTGTGGTAAAACGCTCAGCGCCGCGAATCCACACATGAGACACCTCTCAACAAGGCCATGACTGCGGAGAGCAGAGATGCCCGAGAGCGGACACCCAGATGCCCAAGCAACAGCTTTCCCAAAAGCATGTGACATATGACATATGAGCTGTGCAACCCCTTTGAGATGTTGGTGGAGCATCCCTTTTTCCCAACACCGCATACCCATACAAGCGTCAGGTATTGTCAAATAAAATCACAACAATGATAACAATGCATAACGCGTTACAAGTTGCAATGGATGCGACATCAGGGGCCCTATCGGGGGTCATGCTGCAGGTCTATGCCTTGAGATGATGCCGGGCTTCATTGATTTGTGGATGCTTGGGGTGGCCTGTTTGTTCTTTGTTGCGAATGCACAGAATCTCGTCCACTATTTGTCAAAGCCATGGTACTTGCGCCCCAGAGTGGCTTTCCCGGATCTGCGGATCCAGAAACGGGTGGAGAGCGCTCCTTTTTATTGGCGCACACCCATCTTTATCATCTGCCGGGACCGTCTGTACTATCTGCAGATGCTGGTGTCTCAGCTACATTCCTTGGGGTACTACCACCTCATCGCTTTGGACAACAACTCGACATACAAGCCGCTTCTGTCCTATTACAGGGAGAAGCTCCTTTGGGTCGTTCGCATGGCCTCTAACTTGGGCAACGAAATCTCTAAAGTGCTGTGGAGGATGCATTGGAATCGCTCCACCAGCATGGTTGAATACATCAATCAGTTCGGAGGTCGATATGTTTTGGCCGATCCGGACACACTCTTTGAGGCCAACGTCCCCCGGAACTGGCTGCAGCACTTCTGGGAGATAATGGACCGGCATCGAGTGCGAAAGGTGGGAGCTGCCCTGCGCCTGGATGACCTACCAGAGCATTATGCGGCTCGGAAACAGGTTTGGCAACACGAGTGTCGGTTTTGGCAAGAAGATCTCTTAGTTCCTGGAGAAAGGCAAGTGTTCTGGGCAGCTATCGACACCACAATTGGACTTGCAAAAATTTCACACGAAACGATGCCTGCTTCAAACCCTGGGACATGCCTACGTGTGGCGGGGCCTTTCGCTGTGAGGCACCTGCCCTGGTATGAGAACAGTGGCTGGCTTCTACCTGACGTGGGATATGCCAGGAAAAACCGAGAACGGGGTCACACATTTGGTTGGTGGTCCCATGCTGAGGGATTTGCAAGGAGAGGCAAGCAGGTCATCGATTCGGAAAGTCCCACAGGACAATTCCAACGTCCTGTGAACCAAACATTTGCTTTCCCTGCTGGCGTCCAATATGTAGGCTTTTGCAGGCGATTTTCACAGGGCATCGCAGTGACAGCAGTGCAGCCACCGCAGTGTCAGCATTCTTATGTTCCGGAAACTGAAGTATCCCTGATGGAGAAGGCCGGCGTGAAGTTGCGTTTCGCAGGAAGCGCAGGGCATGAAGACTCTTGGCGAAGCTTCCGTGGTGAAGGTTCCCAGTTCTTTGCTGTGAGGCGCCTTCTGAAGGACCAGGCCAGGTCTAATTCATAGTCAGGTGCTAAGGGAGTTCTCCTGCTCGTTTTCTTCGGCACAGTGAAATGTATGTAGAGCACGACTAGTGCAAGCCTCTGCTAGCCCTTGCAGTTGCTTTGAAAGGTTCGAGTGGTCCTTGACATAGGCGCTGGGATCGGGCTGGCAGCGATTTGGTTCGGACAGCAGGGCGCCAGGGTGGTTGCGCTGGAACCCGAGCAAAGTTTCTTCGAGGCGCTTTGTCGAAATCTCGCAGCCAATGCCCCGGAGGATGTGGGCATTCGGGTGAAGGCACTCAGGGCGGTTCTGGGCCCCCGGGACGAAGAGTTGTCGATCTCAGCTTCGACGTCTTCTTTCCAAACGCAGTCGGTCTCCATTTCGACCTTACGGCTGCAAGCCATAGAGTTGGAAGATGTGGGCTTGGTAAGGATCGACCTGCACCGTGCACACCCGTTTGGCAGCTCCTTCTCCGCCTTCTTATCCTTCTTGCAGCAGACACGGCCAACCCTTTGGATTCAAGGCAGCTCCGCAACAACAAAGGCAACGGCGGCAGTGCAGGACGGGGAGGTTAATTAAAGAGTCGAGGTGAGAGGGTCTGGGGCGCTGTCGTTTGCAGGTGTAAGTCAAGCTTAGATGTCAGCCGCGGAGCCATTTGTTTCAAGTTTGCCTTTAGTGCCGATAAGCCTACATGAAACGCGTAAGCTGCAAGTCGTTGCTAGTTGTTCACAGGAGGTCTTACAGCTTTGCGGCTTTTTGTACTCGACACGCGGAACGACTCTGTGGAACTTTTCAGAGAGGACTTGGAGGCACTTCAGAAGGAGACGAGAGGCCGTAGATGGGGATACTTGGAGTCTGCTGTGCACGCAAACACCGTTGAGTGCGGACACTTTCGGAAAATCTGGAAGAGGCAGCTGCAATCTTAAAATGCCAACATCGGCATCGGATGTTGTGATACGGGTTGACTAGTTTTCAGATGTAGGGGGCGGATGTTTCTAGCAAGCAAAAGATGGACAATTTTTCAAAGGGTTTGACTGCCTGGCACTTGGAGGAGGAATCAGGTCCGTTGACGATTGTACATCAGGCGCTGTGAGTGAAACTTTTGAACAAGTACCAGGCATCGTTAGTGTTGCGGAAACACTTGCTATGGAAAGGCTCAGATTTCTCTTCGGAGTCCCAATCAGGGGTTAAGTTATCTGCCAGCCAACATCTCCTTCAAGGGTTTCGGGGCTTTCGGTCAAGATCCCCTGAGAAAGTTCAGGATTTCTCAGAGGGCATCGTTGTTTAGCGTTTCAACATCTTCTTTGGTTGGAGCATGCCTGTCAGAAGAAGCACTGGCAGCCACTGCCGTCGGCAAGGTAACCCGTAACCCTGGCCATTGGCAACAGGCTATGATGACGTACAAGCATTGTGGGTACATGAGCGCCATATCGAGGCTTCAAGAGGGCTTCCTTTTGCGCAGGGTTCACATGGCCCAGCATCTCGCTTCGCAAATCCCAAGATTCCCATTCTTAGCATGTTTCGGGATTTATCCAAGTTCCACAAAACTCGCGCAGCCTCCGCATTGCATCTTCAATTGAGATGGATGACAGCCGGCCCGAAAATACACACCAATAGTCAATAGTCCTGCTCCATCATACACCAGTGGCAGCTTGCTGTCGCGACTGGAACAACAACAATCACAACCACTTGTATCACTTCGCCCTTGCAGTAGAGATGCATCAACTGGCCTTGCTCTTCGGATGGCTGTGGCTTGCAGCAAGTGGGGAACTGCCAGTGAGAGATCACCAGCCCTTGCTGAGCTTAGCGCCACTACCCTTCCCCCGGTCTGTAGATTCCGAGTGCCACCGCATTGGTTTCTACTTCTGGCAGTGCTTCCAGAAGGGACACCATTTTAGGTTGAAACCACGCGCTTCAACCCGGAGTGTTCTTGGAGAAGCGGTGAACAGGTTCTTGCTTCCCCACTTTTCGTTGTGGCAAGAGAATGAGAAAAATGGATGGAGAGAAAGAGGAGGTGCATGTGCCTATCGTAGTGCGAATGGGCATTTCGCTGAGAGCCAAACAGAGAGCCGTGCCTCACTGCTCATCAAGATTCAAGAGAGTGTCTTGAGACGTGGGGCATCGTGGGAGGAAGCAGAGCAGGATGCAGCTGAGATGCTGCTTTGTCATGCAATGTCAAGTCAGTGTGCCAATATGACGGTGTTCTTGACTTCGCTTGCCTGGGATTTGGTGGAGTCAGGCCCGCTCAGTGCATTCGATGCGATGGATCGACCAGGACTTGATCCGAGCCTTGCTTGCTTAGAACCGGCGCTGGAGGAGTTGATCGCTGATCTGGATACAGTCATGATTCGAGATCAGGAGCCCAGCCTTTGGACTTTGACGGCCGGTCTTAGCGCACTCCGAGCCGTCTCCATGCCCTGCCTTCTTGGAAGTCTCGGGTCCCACCCAGAGATCTTTGAGCGAGGCTCTTGTTTTGCCAAGTCCATGCGACTTGCCATCTCCTCCATGGGGAATGCCGGTCACTGGGACTTGGCACGCCGTCTTTTCGAGATGGCCACGACAGTTTATGTGGGCCGAGTGCAACTTGCGCCGTGGATGTCTTTTCATTTTATGCCACTTCCTTACCTTCCCCAGTTATTGAGCAAACCATTTTGGGAGTCAGACTTGTCGGCACCCATCCCCAGGCTTATTTCCATGCTCGAAAGAAACTGGCGGACACTCAGAGAGGAGTTTGTGTCTGCATCATTGTCAGAGGACGGACGCAGTCAGCTCTCGCGTGATGCGTACAAAGAGACGCTGAATAAAGAATGGGTCAAGATGGAGCTCTTCAATTGTTTAGGCGGATGGGATAGGCCACTCTGCAGATATGCGCCTAAAACATGCAAGCTCTTCATCGGACAAGGGTTGATTGCATCGGATACATTCCCAAGTTTTTGCGCTTGCTGGAGTGATGAAAGATGCAGAGCTGCACCTCAGGCTTGTTCTCTCTTGCGGCAGCATGGCCTGGCAAACAGGTGCGAAACTCAACTGGGGAAATATCCGTTGCATGAGAAAGTGGGCTGGATTATTCTCAAAGCAAACCAAGCAGCACCCTATCACACTGGCGATTCACGACGCATCAACTTGTTTGTATGTTTGCTCGGATGTGAGGGTGCATTTGTTGTGGTTGCTGGTGTGCTGCGCGTGTTTGAGCCTGGACGCGTGGTGTCTTATCAAGATGGTTTTGGGCATCTTGCTGTGAACAGCGGCGACAAGGACTGGTCTGCGGGGTATCTGCCTTACAGTGTGTTCACGAGGAAGTGTCGTCGCTTCTAAAGGATCTTCCTCCCAAGACTAAAGGTCTGTCTTCCTGAAAGCAAGATAGTCTCCCAGGATGGTAAACGTACTAGCTTGCCCTGGTTCTTATGTTATAGGGTAGAGGAGATTCATGCGTTGACCTGGTGGTCAGTGTGGACACACGGAGTATCCAAATCGACGACTGTCTCGCACGAATAGCGTGCCTGTGCGCCAAAGCCTGTTGGCTTTGGACGCTTCCGATACTGCGGTCGGCGACTTTCGCACGAAAGCTCGGGATGCACCCACTGTGTGTCTAGGAGTGAGTTTGGGGTGCACATGGGATACGACTTCGTGCTCAGACGTACTGTTACATCTTCGCTTCCCCAGAATGCCACACACTGTTCGGGGGTCAACGCCATCAGTAGGCGTGTGAAGCACTTTCAGATGTTCTACGTATAGATAAGCCGGTATGCTACTGGAGTAGTAGAAACCCTGAACTAACTAGAAGCTTGACCCAACAACACGTACCCAAACTACTCGATCCTGAACTTCCTAGACCTTAAAGATTGAAAGGACCGGGTGCTCTTCATCGTCTCAATGTTGCATCCTCAGCTCTGGAGCTTGGTTGAAGATGAGCGGGCCGAGAGCGGCTGGCACTACACTCGTGACGCCGAAGGCACCTGGCCTTTGTTGTTTCTGTGGTTTAGGGTTCGAGGAATCGCTAGATTAGGCACATTCGCATCTGAGTTGTCTGGCTTGATTATGGGTCCTGGCTAGGCTAAACTTCTTACTGCTAAAGTTCTTGGGGCGAAGTAGATGTTTGTGATTGTGTGTTGGGCATTCTGCTGCTGCCCACTTTTCCCAAATCTTCCTAAACCCCAAAGCGTAAACATCAACCTTGATACCTTGGCCTTCAGCACCATTTGTCCGGTGGTGGTTTTTCATTGTGGCCAAAGCGCGCTTGTTCTACGCTCTCACAGCTACTAAGTGTCGGGTATTCAATGTGCAGATAGCACTCGAACCCCCTCGGGCATCTTTGTGTTTTTGCCGGCTTAGGAGTAAGGCCTCATGTTCGATGCAGGACGGGATTGGACTCTCAATTTGGATGACTACATCTCGTCATTCAGGCAGATGTCGCAGTGTCAACAGGTTCCCAATCCTCCCAGTATTGCATGATGGCAATGCACCAACCAAAACTACCAGTAATGGTAGTAGTAGTCGTAGTAGTCGTCGTCGTCGTCAGTAGTAGTAGTAGTAGCAGTAGTAGTAGTAGTAGTAGTAGTAGTAGTAGTAGTAGTAGTGGTGGTGGTGGTGGTGGTGGTGGTGGTGGTGGTGGTGGTGGTAGTGGTAGTGGTAGTGGTCGTGGTCGTGGTAGTGGTAGTGGTAGTGGTAGTGGTGGTGGTAGTAGTAGTAGTAGCAGTAGTATTGTAGTAGTAGTAGTAGCAGTAGTAGTAGTAGTAGTAGTAGTAGTAGTAGTAGTAGTAGTAGTAGTAGTAGTAGTAGTAGTAGTAGTAACAGTAGCAGTAGCAGTAGCAGTAGCAGTAGCAGTAGCAGTAGCAGTAGCAGTAGCAGTAGCAGTAGCAGTAGCAGTAGCAGTAGCAGTAGTAGTAGTAGGTAGTAGTAGTAGTAGTAGTAGTAGTAGTAGTAGTAGTAGTAGTAGTAGTAGTAGTAGTAGTAGTAGTAGTAGTAGTAGTAGTAGTAGTAGTAGTATTAGTAGTAGTAGTAGTAGTAGTAGTAGTAGTAGTAGTAGTAGTAGTAGTAGTAGTAGTAGTAGTAGTAGTAGTAGTAGTAGTAGTAAAAGTAGTAGTAAAAGTAGTAGCAAAAGTAGTAGTAAAAGTAGTAGTAAAAGTAGTAGTAGAAGTAGCAGTAGAAGTAGCAGTAGAAGTAGCAGTAAAAGTAGCAGTAAAAGTAGCAGTAAAAGTAGTAGTAAAAGTAGCAGTAAACGCAGTAGTAAACGCAGTAGTAAACGCAGTAGTAAAAGTAGTAGTAAACGTAGTAGTAAAGTAGTAGTAAAAGTAGTAGTAAAAGTAGTCGTAAAAGTAGTCGTAAAAGTAGTCGTAAGAGTAGTAGTAAGAGTAGTAGTAGCAGTAGTAGGAGCAGGAGCAGGAGCAGGAGCAGGAGCAGCAGCAGGAGCAGCAGGAGCAGCAGCAGGAGCAGCAGGAGCAGCAGCAGGAACAGCAGGAGCAGCAGCAGGAGCAGCAGCAGGAGCAGCAGCAGGAGCAGCAGCAGGAGCAGCAGCAGGAGCAGCAGCAGGAGCAGCAGCAGGAGCAGCAGCAGGAGCAGCAGCAGGAGCAGCAGGAGCAGCAGGAGCAGCAGGAGCAGCAGGAGCAGCAGGAGCAGCAGGAGCAGCAGGAGCAGCAGGAGCAGCAGGAGCAGCAGGAGCAGCAGGAGCAGCAGGAGCAGCAGGAGCAGCAGGAGCAGCAGGAGCAGCAGGAGCAACAGGAGCAGCAGGAGCAGCAGGAGCAGCAGGAGCAGCAGGAGCAGCAGGAGCA